AAAATCACGTGACAGGCTGTTAAAATTGGCTGTTGCATACTCTTTCGCCGGTCTGGAAAATGTGTTTAATTAACTCACATTCAAGCAGCAATGTAGATTTCCCAGTGGGAGTGAGACTATTCAAACTCTGCCACTAAAAAATAGGGGTGTTTTCAGCAAAAAACGAATAACCCTGGAATACACACAATATACTGAATTTCGGAACAAATCGTGCATTACTTACAGCAGCAGAATACCACAGAAATATCAGACGAAACATGAAAACACTATATATTGTATTTCAGCCTGAACCCTCTATATTGCAATTCAAGGAATTAACCCCATATGTGCATCCATTTCCCACCTTGGTATCACCCACCCCTGAAAACAAACTCTTAATACCACGCTGAAGCGTTTGGTAAAAAGTGACATTAGTCGAAGTATGGACCAAACCACGGTTACTGGTAACCGCGACCTAACAAATCCATGCCATAGTCAAAAGTTTAAAACAACGTTACGAAAGGAACAAGGAATCATCGTGACAGCGCCGGGAATAAATTATAAAATACGAATGTATAAAATGTTATATAAGTTTGACAACTACTTCACGACCATAATTATTATACTAGAATCTATTACAAAACTATAGATTATCAAATGAAACGAGTCGATACAACCAAATTAAATGGCTCGGCGTACCTATCAATGAAACCCATTATACATGTAGTTCGAATTGCACAGAACTGAACTGTATGCATGGGAATTAAAATCGGTACTTTGCGTCACCTGATTGCGAGTGTATGTATTTGCGTTTAAGATTACGTTTTTCAAATTTATTTTTTAACTTATGGAGTTTACTATAAACTTTCAAACGCATGAAATGTCATGTAAGTTGATTAAAATGTGGCACAACCTCACTAGTATACCTAGAGCCGTGTTATAAAGAACAGCAGAGAGAAAGTTTTTAATTACAGTTTCCCAGATTTTGAAAGATTCAACAATAAATGTAAATGTACTTATTTTCTTAATGTTTCAGACGAAATTCTAGCATCTAGTATTATTTTTTCTTGAAATGTATTCATTTTATTATGAAATAAATAGCTCGTTTCTAATTGTAATGGTCGATATTTATCAAGCAAACTGCGTGTTTTGTGGATCACATCAAACTCAAAACTTTCTGAAATGTTTTTTTTTCTATGATGTATGTCAATGTTGATATTTTAAAATCACATATGGCAAACAACATTAATTAGTGTCATTATTTTGGATTATCATGATTGAAAAGGTAGGTTTGGCATACAGTTGCCACAAGAAATGATATTGCGACACATTGGAGTGGCGTCATTCATTTGAAAAAAAATAAACTAAATGACTTCACTTTGACGTGTTGGGGCACCCCGGACGCCTACACCAACTTACGTCATACGTTTTTCTTTGCGTTGGTTTTACTATATACTCATAGAAAAAATACTATAAATAGTACGTAGGACTGATCAATAATTAGTTAACTTTCTATTTTTAACTTTATTTTACTAGATTTATACAGGCGTTGTGGCATTACCAATGACGTACCCGGCTCCCCAGAATTAAAAAAACAAAACAGCAATATTTTTTTTCAGCGAGTTAAGGGTCCATTTTATAATGGCGACTGGAATGCCTGGTGATTTTCGTCCGGGCGGTGCCTCCGTGCCCGCCACGAAAGTAGAGATTTCCGTTTCTTGTCGGTAAGTAGTAGTTCATAGTACCCGACCATGCAGCGTATGCCTGTGTGGTTGTAATTTACTTGGTATTAATTGTCAATGTCTAACGAGATCACTTGACGAATTATCATGCGCATTTCCGGGATTGTCTCTTATGATATGGATGCACGTACATGTGAATCATTTTCGCCTACACAGTAGGCAACAAGTATAGAAACGTGTTGTGCCAAGTATAAGTCGGATATGTTATGGATGATCCTAGTTTCATTGCCACTTTACTATGTTTTTGTAACGCTAGCACAGAATGTAAAGACCTACTTTGGTCTCTGTCCTTGAGTGTTGTCAATTTCACCCTCATCCAGTCATATAAGGGTGAACCATTAGAAACTGTGGGAGGGCGTGATGGAAGAATTAAACGTAGTATGCAATTTTTTTTTATTGATTTCTGCAGATTTGTTTTCCAGGATCCCTTGTGCTAATTATTTTTTCCAACCCGTAGCCCAGTGTTTGTAATGGTCAACCACTGAATAAATGAGTATTCTACTACCAAAAATAAATCAAACAAACAAAATTCCTAAATTACTAAATTTTCAAATAAGTGATTCTATGAGACACATGGCTGGTTTTTTTTTTTTTTTTTTTTTTTTTTAACTATTCATCTTGCAGGTTCAAAGAGTGTGTTTTGACTTCTTGATAGAATCACATGTCCGATAAACTTTTCAATTTATGTTTACATGGTTAAAGATAACCCTGAGTGCCCTCAAATGTTCTGTTATTGATCATAACAAAATTGATTGACACATTCATGAAGTTACAACATATCATTTCGTTTTTATGCTTATTTGCTTTTTGTTTTCCATTGTGTCTGTTGTTTATAATGAAGCTTTCATTGTATATAATCATTTAATATCGGTATGTTAACAAAACCACTCTTTTGTTTTTTAAAAAATATTTATAATAATTCAATTCAAACTGAATGGAGAAGTTTCTATTTGCATATGGAATAACAGTGGGACCCTCCACCCCCACATGATGACGTCTGCCTCATTTCACTGTTATTACAGTCTTCTGTGTTACTGATTACATCAACTTGCCTCAAGAGTGCCCATTTGCACAATATCAATCAGAACTTGTACTGCCTTCTGAAATTAATACAGAACACTTCCTTTAAAAAAAACAATCAGACACTCTATGTTTGTACTAGTTATGTACAATACTGCATGTTATAGTAAACAAGTGTAAACCACCTGCTGGATTTTCAAATTTGTCATCAACACTGAAGTGCAAAATCATTCATTTTATTGGCTCTGCTCACACATTTCATGATTAGAAAAATGTCACAATTGTATATTTTGGATAGACACTTGGATAGATTCTTTATTCTATGTAATGTTCTATTCAACTGATATTACACACACACAGTACTATTATATGGAATCATGCATTTATATGTTTTCAAGAAATAACATCACTCATGGCAAAGACAAGAGAATTATGAGATGGTTTTCACATTTGATTATCAACTACACATATTTGCTGTGTCATTCACAACCATGGAAAACCAGTTTGATAATAGATCCACAACATACAGCATTCTCCATCTACCAAAACTTTAAAGTAGGATGGGTCAAACCCCAATCAAGTATGTAGGCCCCAAAATTTGGAATAATATTCTGGAAAGCGTTAAAAAGCACCACTCTAGATATATACCGATATTTAAAAAAAAAAATATAAAAAGTACCTTCTAAGTTTATATATTTAGCACTTTGAATAGTTTTTTTTCTGTACACTTA